TAACTAAACGAAACTAACTAAACGAAACTAAACGAAACTAACTAAACGAAACTAAACGAAACTAAACGAAACTAAACGAAACTAAACGAAACTAACTAAACGAAACTAACTAAACGAAACTAAACTAAACTAAACTAAACTAAACTAAACTAAACTAAACGAAACTAAACGAAACTAAACGAAACTAAACGAAACTAAACGAAACTAAACGAATTTAAACTAAACGAAACTAAACGAAACTAAACGAAACTAAATGAAACTAAACGAAACTAAACGAAACTAACTAAACGAAACTAAACGAAACTAACTAAACGAAACTAACTAAACGAAACTAAACGAAACTAAACGAAACTAACTAAACGAAACTAACTAAACGAAACTAACTAAACGAAACTAACTAAACGAAACTAACTAAACGAAACTAACTAAACGAAACTAACTAAACGAAACTAACTAAACGAAACTAACTAAACGAAACTAACTAAACGAAACTAAACGAAACTAAACGAAACTAAACGAAACTAAACGAAACTAAACGAAACTAAACGAAACTAAACGAAACTAAACGAAACTAAACGAAACTAAACGAAACTAACTAAACGATACTAACTAAACGAAACTAAACGAAACTAAACGAAACTAAACGAAACTAAACGAAACTAAACGAAACTAAACGAAACTAAACGAAACTAAACGAAACTAAACGAAACTAAACGAAACTAAACGAAACTAAACGAAACTAAACTAAACGAAACTAAACGAAACTAAACGAAACTAAACGAAACTAAACGAAACTAAACGAAACTAAACGAAACTAAACGAAACTAAACGAAACTAAACGAAACTAAACGAAACTATACGAAACTAAACGAAACTAAACGAAACTAAACGAAACTAAACGAAACTAAACGAAACTAAACGAAACTAAACGAAACTAAACGAAACTAAACGAAACTAAACGAAACTAAACGAAACTAAACGAAACTAAACGAAACTAAACGAAACTAAACGAAACTAAACGAAACTAAACGAAACTAAACGAAACTAAACGAAACTAAACGAAACTAAACGAAACTAAACGAAACTAAACGAAACTAAACGAAACTAAACGAAACTAAACGAAACTAAACGAAACTAAACGAAACTAAACGAAACTAAACGAAACTAAACGAAACTAAACGAAACTAAACGAAACTAAACGAAACTAAACGAAACTAAACGAAACTAAACGAAACTAAACGAAACTAAACGAAACTAAACGAAACTAAACGAAACTAAACGAAACTAAACGAAACTAAACGAAACTAAACGAAACTAAACGAAACTAAACGAAACTAAACGAAACTAAACGAAACTAAACGAAACTAAACGAAACTAAACGAAACTAAACTAAACGAAACAAAACGAAACTAAACGAAACTAAACGAAACTAAACGAAACTAAACGAAACTAAACGAAACTAAACGAAACGAAACGAAACGAAACGAAACGAAACGAAACGAAACGAAACGAAACGAAACGAAACGAAACGAAACGAAACGAAACGAAACGAAACGAAACGAAACGAAACGAAACGAAACGAAACGAAACGAAACGAAACGAAACGAAACGAAACGAAACGAAACGAAACGAAACGAAACGAAACGAAACGAAACGAAACGAAACGAAACGAAACGAAACGAAACGAAACGAAACGAAACGAAACGAAACGAAACGAAACGAAACGAAACGAAACGAAACGAAACGAAACGAAACGAAACGAAACGAAACGAAACGAAACGAAACGAAACGAAACGAAACGAAACGAAACGAAACGAAACGAAACGAAACGAAACGAAACGAGACGAAACGAGACGAAACGAGACGAAACGAGACGAAACGAGACGAAACGAGACGAAACGAGACGAGACGAAACGAAATTAAACGAAAATAACACTTGATTTATGCAAGGTAAAACTAAATTCCACATTAAATACATTAGAACATTGGTTTAAAAACAATAATCTCCTGTTAAATGTCAATAAAACTCAAGTCATTAATTTTAGTCGTGGCACGGATGAAATCCTCACATTTACATACAAGGGGAAAAATATAATTTCAGAAACCTCTTTTACATTCTCGGGAGTGATGCTTGATCGAAGTTTGGACTGGAAAGAATACATTCAACAAGTATCGGGTAATATTTCCAAATTTAGCTACGCTCTAAGAATACTTTCATCTTATACAGTGAGCATCATAAGTCTTACCCCCCTATCTAACTCGTTACTGGGGTCTTGTTAGGAAAATCGCCGAGACAGGTCGATTTTTGATTTCTACAATGTACATTTTTTTATAAATAGTTTACCCTTAATTTCATCCCTTACTGGAGGGTAGCAACCCTTTCGAAAAATTTAAATAGCATGGGGTGGTGAGTGATAGCTCATTTGAAAGGGGGTTTAATTCTCTATTCAAACATGCAAAAAATTTTGAAATTTGCTTCATTACGTGTTGATTTATTAACACATTCGCGGACACTCATATTTTATGGTATGTGCATAATTGGACACAAGCGGCATAAGCCGTAACATATATTATCTGCCGTCAAAGGCTTAATCCGGCTATAGATACATTTTGCGTGATGTAACGTCAATTTTGTATAAAGAACTATGTAAAGTGTCCCACTAGACACCTGTATGATAAAAATTGTTTGCGAAATGTCATTGGTGGGGGCAAAAATTTGGTTCGGCGATAGACAAACTTTTGGCGCGTTTAGTTCAGATTTACGCATTGTTAGGGACTATGTGTGCTAAATACTTGGCTTAGTACGTACCTAAAATGGACAAAAAGCAAGAACAACAACTACTTAGGTGGTATGATGAGCTTGATGCGAAGGTTGAAGGGTCAGAATCGGATGCTAAAAACGCACACGATCCATATAGTCCGACGATGATCCTGAATACACTGAAAGTAATTCTTCATATTCATATTCTCGAAAGTTTTCCTGATACTATAACTATACCAAAACGAACTAAATCCATGCCATCTAAAAAATCTAGAAAGAATACTGGTCATGTTCTTGAGGCCATCACTATACCAGAAGATTTTAAAAAACGGGGGAAATATTGTAAGCGCTGTAAGCATTGTTATATGATAAAAAAAAGAAAAGAAACTGCTTGGCAGTGCCGGGATTGCGTCAACAAGCCACCCCTTTGTGAAAGAAAATGTTTCCAAGATTGGCATGAATAAGTCTTTCTCTTTTTTTTTGTTATTTTTACCAAAGCATTTTGTATTTATTTACTAGTTTTAGTTCCATATGAATACAAAATTGACGTTTTTCATTTTATTTTTTATGCGGTATATGATGTCACTGTCATTTTGAGAATAAACTATGCTTTTCGCAGGACATGCCGTTATATGACACAGCGGTTTTTATCTATATTTCTAATTCTTTGGAAAAATGTGATTTTAAAGCTATATGTTTCGTTTCTCTACGTATAAAAGTACTTATTCTACCACTGTGACAATTTGAGCACACTTGACTTTATTTTAGTGCCCTGTTGAAACAAAGGCCAATGACGTGATTTCACGTCACTGTCCGCGAATGTGTTAATGTTTAAAAATAACAAAACCTCACAAAATAGGAAAGCAACTAGACTAACAGTGACCTTCTCATGGAAAAAAGCCTTCACGTCTGAACCAAAACCGAAATCATGCAGGGCCGAATTTTAATTCTAAGGATGAGTGCGCTACGTTAATTTCCGTTATTCTGAAACAATAATTAGTCGAGAATTAATGAAGCAAATTTCAAATTTTTTTACACGGTTGAATAGAGAATAAAACCTTTTTTCAAATGAGCTATCACTCACCACCCCATGCCATTTAAATTTTTCGAAAGGGTTGCTCCCCTCCAGTAAGGGATGAAATTAAGGGTAAACTATTTATAAAAAAATGTACATTGTAGAAATCAAAAATCGACGTGTCTCGGCGATTTTCCTAACAAGACGCCAGTAACGAGTTGGATAGGGGGGGTAAGACTTATGGTGATCACTGTATAAATCAAACTACTGCACTAACCACATACTGTGCCTATTCAGCAGATGCACAAAGAGGTGCCTTAGAAATATATTCCACCTGCAAATATACAAGATAGTTGTAAAGATATTTTTACTCGAAAGAAGATATTAACCACAATATGCTTATATATCTTGGAATCGATTATATTTATCTTAGAAAATTACGATCTGTTTGAGATCAACGAAGTTAAACATAGCTATAATACCAGATCAATACACACCCTAAAAACGGACATCCCAAGATACACCTATATCCAAAAAAATGTAGAACATTCTATTCAGAAGATTTGAAATAAGATGCCTTCTTTATTAAAGACTTTAGAAATCAGACCACTAAAATTAAAATTGAAGTCATTCTCATGTATGATAAAGCATATTACAACTTAGACAAAAATAATAATTATAAAAAAAATGTGTTTATTGTGTATTTATATATAAAATGTATATTTTATGACATGCTCTAAAGGTATTTTTAGAGTAAATAAAGATTTATTTCTTTCTTTTTCCAGCCAGAGCCAGTCACAGGCTTATTGGAATGTCAGAATATGAGATTTATTTTCATTGTACATAAATAAAATATGTATAGGTTGTGCAAAACAAAGTTTGATGTACAATTTTCTTGGATGATTTAATTCTACGATTTTTAACATTTTCTATCATCCCTTGTTAATATTAAATTATATTCTGTAGGTATTAAACTTAATCTGTTTTATGTGTTTATTTTTTAAAGTTGGGCACAATGCTTGGCAAATATGACGATATTAGTGACGTGCATCAAACTTTGTTCTGCATAAACTATAGATACTAATTGTGACTAAAAATCCCATTTTTGTTATCTTCAAAATGCACAAAAGATACAGAATCTTAACAACCCAATACTAAACTGACAAGTTGACAACCATCATAACAAACTTCGATGACGTCTCATAACAGTTTTTAAATTTTCAGAATCATTAAGCAAAGAACGTGTTCCTTCAAACACTTGTATTTCTTATTTCACGAAGTATTACAATCAGCGAAATTTTTTCTAAGCGCAGCTATGGAAATACCTATAGTTCAAATGATGTCTTGTACGGACTACTACTTAGATTTAGATCCAGAGAAAACTATTATGAGGTAAAATTTGGTGGCTACAGACAAAAATGAGTTTATTGTCTTGTAAAATTTATTTTGTAGATTTAAGCAAGACGAAAACGAAGTTACCAATATTTTTCAAGACGTAGAGGAGTATAGAAGCGAAGTCGTAGGAAAATTAGCAGAATTCAGCAATACAATCATATCGTCGCTTTTAGAGAACGTTTATAGTTTCCCGAAATCGATAGCCTGGATAGTTTCGCGCATAGCTAAGATTATCGAAAAATCTTTCAGTTCCAAACAGGTGAGGTTATTGGAAATAGCAAAGAATCGTATTTTTAAAAATTCTTATTCCATTTTTAGGCAAACGCCATAATCACGGAACTAATCTTCAACCTATACATTTGCCCGGTAATCGTGGATCCTGAACAGTACGGCATTTGTACAACGCAAGTTAACGAAATCGCCAGGCATAACTTGATCCAGGTGTGCCAAATTTTGCAATCGTTGGCTTTGCGCAAATACGAACCCATAGATCCAAGGTATTCAGATCTGTTCGATATGTTGGACAAGAGTAGAGTTTGCAATTTCATCGAATTGCTGTTGTTCGACATGGATTGCGAGGAACCCCCTATCGATACGTCGCCCAGTCTCGTCAGGGATATCATGTTGTTTACTGAGAGCGAACTTAATAATATAGTAAGTGGTGCTTCTAATTACTGTATAGCAACTAGAGGTGGGAAGTTCGAATCTTTCTACTGAATTAATTCATTTGATTCATTCATCTAAAAAGATTCGTTCTTCAAGATTCGTTCTCAAGTGATTCACTTTAGCGAACCACGAACGATGTTATTCCGTCGATCCGGCGAAGGAAATCGAATCGAACTTTTACGAATTTGGGTACTACCTAACCTACCTACCTACCTACCTACCTACCTACCTACCTACCTACCTACCTACCTACCTACCTACCTACCTACCTACCTACCTACCTATCCTAATAAGTCCTACTAGGTCCTCGAGTAAAATAATTATAACCAGATTTATTTTAAAGTAAAGCGAATTAATGTTTCATATTTCATAAAAAAAAAGGCAGCTGAATAGTAGATACATCCTTGTCCGTTAAGATAAACAACAATAACACAATTTTTTTTAAATGCTAAATATATAGCCAAAATTAACGCAAAATTATATATTCACGATTCGTCATTTATTGTTTTAATTTTACTTTGATTTAAATTTATTTATCAGACAACACGTATAAATTGTTTACCTAAGCTTAATACACCTCCCGTAAAGTGAGAAAAACATTAAAGACACATACCGCCACCTCCTGTCAGTTAAGAGTTCTCGTATTATGTCGTAGAACGTAGAACAAAAGCGACCAATTTTCCGATGCCAATGTAAAATACCAAATCTTCGAATCCGATTCGAATGAACGAAGCAACCAAACTCTGAACTCGACATGTTTGATCGAAGGCAGAGCCATCAAGCAATTGATTTAAAAAAGATTCGAATCTTTTAAAAACAGGGAATCAATTCATTCGAGTCAGTCCACTGATTCGTTCTTTTTGAACGAATCGTTCGCGAACGACACACCTCTAATAGCAACAGGTTAATCTGTAAACTGTTTTATGCACAAATATTAAGCAAAATGTGTATCCCTACAATATATAAAAATTAATTAAATTAAAAATAAATAATAACAAAAATTAAAAGAACCAATAAAAAAATAATAAAAAAACAAATTAAAAAATAAAATAAACAATATTAAATATATTGTACATAGTACATAATATTAGGAAATTGGGGCAACAAACCATACACACAACTATCTTTTATAGAGAAAAATTGCTTTAAAGCAGTGGCGGCTCGTCGTAATTTGAAATGGGTGTTCACTTTTTCCAATAATTTTATCATTTGCAAGTTCGGTTCAAAACTTTGTACAAGAGCCAATATCGCTGTTTTTTTTTATTATTGAGTTTGTATTAAGTGTAGTTATTATTATCAACATCATACTGTTTTCAAGCACTACAACTATTAATAAATGAATATTTTAGTTTTTAATACATTGAAAACCATCTATAAATATTATTAGTTAGTAAACTGACTTTTCTTCATAATTTGAGATTATTTTTAAATATATATATATCAGGTTACGTAGAAAGCGTGTCATTGATTTTTGTGTAAAAAATTTTATATGAAACTTTACGTACCATTTTCACAATTTGTCACAGATGTCAAATAAAAAATATATTTTTTAAATACCTTTTATTGGCAAATAAAATAAGAACTAAAATGTTTTAAATATTTATTTTATAAGATTAGTCCCATCACAATACATAATATTACACAGACACAAACTAGAATAAAGATATATAATGCCTGGCATTTTAAATGATACTCTTCGCAGTTTAACATATCCCCTTAACCACCATTTTTAAGCAGATTGTTTTCACAATCAATAGGCCTCATCTCCTTATAGACCTTGATTTTTACTAAAAATTTCATGTTGATATCGCTTTTCATTTTGATTTTTTTTTAATTTCAACCCCCCTTAAATCCTAGAGATTGATGTTTGCTAAAAATTTCAAGTTTTTCAGTTAGGATTTTTTTTATATTTTAACCCCCCTTAACTCCCCAATATATTCATATTTTTTTCAGTATCAATAGACTTTATCTTCTTATAAAGCTTCATTTTTACTAAAAATTTCATATTGATATTGCTTTTCGTTTTTAATTTAGGATTTTTTTTTTAATTTCAACCCATCTTAACCCCCTATTTTTAATCGAGATTTGTTAAAAATCAATAGACTTTGACCCCTTATAGAGCTTGATTTTTGCTTAAAATAAGTTCATATCATTTCTCGTTTTTGACTTATCGTGCAGACAAAAACGTGACATCGGACAGACAGACAAAGTAAACCTATAATACTCTTCACAATCTTCACATAATACTATATGAAGAGTAGAAAAAAAATGTATAAGGTAAAATAAACAATTTTAAAAGTTCAACAATAATATTCAACTTTGTAACCTATTTTTTTCTTTTGACAAAGAGTTTAGGTTATATACAGCACAGATGGGCGTCGTTTGGGGGGGGGGGGGCAAGGGGGGACAGTTGCCCCCCCCCCCCCCCCCCCCGGCTTTTAACGACTTAATCAACAACGCGTAAGATATGCATTACGAACAACAATCTCATATAGAAATAATAATATTCAGGCTAATATAGTTGAAGAATATTGTAGGTTGAATATATTTATTGCATATCTGGATTCTCTTATTACGTCGCTTACATTACGCTTTTCCGAAGACTCTGTTAGTTTTTCCTTAAGCCATCCCAAAAGCATAAAAACAATACTTTTCTCACTACTGTTTAGATAATGAAAGTAGTGGAAAAAGTTTGAATTGACAATTTTGAAGCTGAATACCAAACTGGAGTACGAAAGAGCTTTCTGCACACAATGAGCTCTCCATTAATGATATAGCATCCAAACATTGTGAATTTTATCCAGACATACAAAGTGCTTTAAAAAATATTTATGGCTCTTCCACCAACGACAGAGTTAATCGAAATAACTTTTAGCACGCTAAGGCATGTTAAAACATGGCTGCGATCTATTCGATCAGTGCGAAGTCATGGTAGAGAAAGCAAAAGCGATAGTAGCGCAAGCTGCGGATAATTCGAGTACTTTAGGGCGATATTTTGTAATTTTGGCGTATCAAATACGTATACATTTTACTTTTTACTAAAAAATAGGTTAAAAACAATAAAATGAGCAACCGGAGTTGCTATGTTGCAAATTGTACTAACAAAAAAACTGTAAATTATATAAATTTTCAGTAACAAAATCGAAATTAAATCAAAAAAATAAATACACAGCTGTATAATAAGAAGAAAAAAAAACCTTTATTTTTGTAATAATAACAGTAATACTGGAAATAATAGACATCAGAAAAGGTTTTAAATAAACAATAAATTATTATTTTGATATTCTTCAACATCCCTTAAGTATTAAATGTTTAGCAAATGATTAGATTTTTGCCTTTAATGGGTCCTATGATTGAACGTTTATGTTATCCATAACGTACATGTTAGGTCGAATTTTAACAGTAACGAAGCAAGTTTGTATGATGGAAAACTGTTAAATTAGAACATAACAGGCGGAAAATGACAGTAATGTGTTGGAAACCGTTTTTCATCATACGAACTTGCCTAATTACTGTTAAAACTGAGCCTAACATGTACGTTACGGATAACGTAAACGTTCAATCACAGGACCCAATTATTGTATATGGCTAAAATGCAATCTTGTGACTTATTGATAGGAAACCAGTTTTAATCATTAATTTCTATGGGTTCTTTCGAACTAAAAATAAAGAAAATATAAATTACAATCGCAAATATACCAATTATTTTTGTTAATACGTTTTAATTCTACGCTAATAGTAGTGTTTTTATTTTGACATTATTTAACCTATTCTTCAATGACAACTTATTAGGCTTAGGCAAGATCTCATACATTATCTCGTAAATGTTCTATGTTCTATTATTGATTTTTATTGATTATAATACTTTTTTTAGCTGAAGTAATAAAAATATATAATAATAATATTAATAATTTTTTCACTTGTTTTATAAATCCATATACTTTTATTTTGTCATTTTTTGTTGGGTTATTTTATTTATTAGAGACTTGTTAACTATGACAACTTAAGCATCAGTTCTGTCAAATAGGTCAGTGGCATTGTTAGGATTACTACTACAGTTCCACTCCCCCATAGCTTCGCTATTCAGTGAGATATCAGATTAATTTTGTTCTGTTTGAAAGACTTTCTTATGATGGATTCAATTGTTCTGTGACGTCATGGCTTACTTCCGATTTTTCCAAAAATAACAGATTTTTTTTTATTTTTAAAAGGAAACCCTCTTTTATTGTAAATTTAAATTTCTGGGACATTTATGTATAACAATCGTGTATTGACAATTTTCTGTCAGCTGTCAAAATGGCTGCCATATTGGATAATATTTTTTCTAAATATGTTACTATTAATTCGTTTATGGAAAAACATATAGGAATGTACGAGCTTTATAAAATCTTTTTAGGCTTCAAAATTCCCATTGAAACCCATTTACCGTATACCAGTGGCGCATCTAAGCATTTTTATTATTAGCAAACCGTTTAATAATTTATCCGCTTTTATCTTCGTTATTAATTGAGATATCGGAATGAAAACTTATTTGTTTAAAAGCTTGGGACAAATACTCTCATGTACTGGATTCAATTGGTGTGTGACTTCATGGCTTACTTCTGTTTTATCGGAAATAACAAAATTTCAATTTATTTTTAATTTTTAAATAGAAACCTCCGTTTTTATTGAACATTTGAATTTTAGAATCATGTGTTGAAAATTTTTTGTCAGCTGTCAAAATGATCATCATATTGGAACATATTTTTTTTAATATGTTAGTGAGATAATTTTCAATACACGCTTCTTATACAAAAATACCCCAGAAATTCAAATTTTCAATAAGAAAAAGGGTTTTCATTAAAAAATAAAAAAATTAATTGCGATTTTCTATTATTTCTGGAAAAACCGGAAGTAAGCCATGACGTCACAGAATAATTAAATCCATCATAAGAAAATTCTCTTTTTAATTCATTTTCTTTGTTTTCCAATAAATAAACATACTAAAT